TTCATCAACACAGCTTAATCTTTTCCAAAGTCTTAGAGGATTTGATCTTCGCTGAGTTTTGACTTTATCCGAGGTTTTGCCAGGTTTCGCCAGTTTCGCCAAATTTCTCCAGTTTCGCCAGAGTTTCGCCTGGTTTCGTCTTTCGCCGGATTTAGTTTCGCCTTTCGTCATTTGCACAAAATGGTTTCGCCTAACAACATTAGTACGACCTTCGAAAGTAGCCAAAGTTATCATGATCAAACCCACAATCATGATAACTGGATCGCCTAAACGAATACACACCCGAACTCGAAGGTTGCAATGGAGACTCTCCAGGCCTTGGAGGTTTGATAAAAGCATCATTGGAATTTCGTGATTGCACATTATAACCTTCCGTACTCAATCTAAACGACGGACCGTAACAATTATCAACGCTGGAATTCCGTATCGGTGGACCATGACCGTCTCTTCTAGTATTTAAGAAGAACTCACCGGACCTCGTAGGTTGAATATGTATAGAATTTGGGTTTTCATTGTATGACAAGCCTAGTAGAAGTCTTGAAATCATTAGACCTTGTCATATTGAAATAATCGTTATCAGCCATTAGACAATCGTCATGAGCGTATAGCAAGACGGAAATTTGTTTTTATTGGCTGATCATCAATCATCGTGATTAGCTAAAATCATTACACTCGTAACACTCACAACTCTATATCTGACATCTGATATCAGTATCTTTCACGATAATATCTTGCTCACGTGAAGTACAAAACTTTACAACTACCCTCCAAAAATTCTGCGCACCAATCAGCTTTCAAGATCTAACGAAAAAAAGATTCCTCGCCAAATTTTGGTATATTGATATACGTTACACCTGATCTCGAAATATGATTGGCTGTTTTTTGAGGTATTCTTGGGGTAAATAACTCACTCCAAAAAAAAAACTAGTTATTTCATCTTAAGCGCCAAAAACTTAATATACCGTATCTCTTTCCGCGCCGTCATTGGAACTGGTTTTATTTTTCATATGCTACCGATTAAACCGGGTTTAACAAAAAAAATACAACCGGTTTCAAACTCTATACCGTAGTGCACTGACCAAAGTACCCGGTGCAAAATACGAGATTTATAATAATTGCCGGGGATGATGCTGAAATTTTGACTTTTGAAAATTTAAATTTTTTTGGGGTGTTTTGTTCAGCTTTTTTTTTAATAGTTAGATTAGAATTTAGGGCTAGTGTTTATAATAAAAGAGAATAGGTGGATTTTAATAGGGTTTATATTTTCAAATTAAGTCCTTAAATTTCAGCATCATCCGATTTCAGCATCATCACCGACATATTATAAAAATGTCATATATTAATATAGAAACTCACCATTGCCATCCTCCAGCCTCGAATTTAGGACTTGTCGTCTTCCTTTCTATATTACTCCAATTAGTGACATGCCACGTGTAGTACTGGAAATCCCTGATTTTATAATCAAGATCAGGCATAATTTTGTTTGCGATAACTTTAACTATAAAATTTTTAAAGTTTTTTAGAATTAATTCCAAAACTATTAAATTTAAAAAATTTAATAAAACATACAATCCATTGATTATTATTTTAATAATCAGAAAACTTTCTAAAATTTATTTTTTTTTTATAGACCAATTTATAGCATCATTCATACGTATATAGATAATCGGAGTTATTAATTCCGCTCATGATTGATTTTGAACGGTTGTTATCTAATTAAGTATATAATATACTCTTTTTTATAAACACTAACCCTAATTCTAATCTAACTATTAAAAAAAAGCTGAACAAAACACCCCAAAAATTTTAATTTTTCATTCAAAATTTCAGCATCATCCGATTTCAGCACCATCCCCGACATAATATATATAAAAATACTTTTTATTCAAATTATATGTAAATAAATACGAGAGAGCAAAAGAAATCGAAGTGTACAAAAATTTTATATGTAAATTTGTTTGACATTTTGAATTAAAAAAATATACCAACAATTTAAGCCAATTTTAATATTTAGAATATATAATGTAAAATTAATTAGTAATTGTTACCTTTTCCATTAAAAAATTGTGAAATAAATTTGCTTAAAATTTTGTGTCAAGTTTTTACCAATTCTTTGTTAATTGATCAATCTGTTAAAATTTATAAATTTAGGCGCATCTTGCTTTTTCCTTTTGGAAATAAAAATTTAAGCAAAATTTCAATTTATTTAAAATCCGCTGATTCGCAAGTAGAATATGCAGATTTGCACGTCTGTGTGCAATTCGCTTTTATATTATGGAATTCGAAAGAACCGACAGAATACGTTGGCCATTGTATATATATCAAATTATTCGCCCTTTATAATTAGTGTGTCAATTCATTCATTTTAATCAATGTTTGCAGATGCATATCATCGTTTCACTGACCAAGAATCCGACTGGGGTTTTGGAAAATTTTATGACCAGAATAAGTTGCTTACCCCATCTGATGACCGAATTCATCCGCTAATTGAAAATGATGCTTGTAACATTACGGCACTAGTTCGTGTTCTGGAAGATCCAACTGGCACACTATGGTCCGATAGGAAATATTCTCCTGGATATACAGGCTTAAAAAATCTAAAAGTAAATACTTTCTTAAATTCAGTAGTACAATCACTCTACTTTATAAAATATTTTCGTAAGGTCTGTTATTACTATCAAATTTTTATCTTTTATTTTTATTATTTATCTTTTTGATCTTAAACAATACTTTTTTTTAATTATAGGCAGTCTATCAAATTCCTATGGAAAATGATAAATCAGCAAAGAGCATTGGTTCAGCTTTACAGCAGATTTTTTATGAATTAAATGTTTCAGATTCTTCAGCTCAAACAACAGAATTAGCAAAGTTTTTTGGATGGAATATATTTCTTACAAGTGATGTTCGAAAGTTTATTGGTGTGTTACGAGACAATATTGAAGATAAATTAAAGGTGAAGCACTTATATCATTATAATATTCAACTATTACAGTGTTATATTTATTTTTATGAATTTTTTTACATGGAATTCTAGAACACAAAAGCAGATGGCACGATTTCTAAACTTTTTGGTGGCAAGATGAAAACTTACATTAAATGTGTTAATGTAGATTATGAATCCTTACGTATTGAGGATTATTATGGTATATGAGAAACACTAAAATGTTAACAAAAAAGTTCTGCATATATAGCAATTTTATAATAATTTATTTCCTATAGATATTCAACTTAATGTTAAAGGATGTAAAACTTTAGATGATTCTTTTATGAAATATATGCAAGAAAATTTAGACGGATACAATAAATATGATGCTGAAGGTTATGGTTTGCAAGTAAGTTTGTAATTCTATTTATTTATTTATTCTACTTCTGATTATTTTTATTACAAAGATAATAAATTGAATTTACCGTATTTAATGTATATTTGTAGGTTGCTAATAAAAGTGTAATCTTTGAAAGTTTTCCGCCTGTATTGCACATACATTTGGATCGGTTTGAGTATGATGTGCAGAGCAATACTAGGGTCAAAGTATGTATATGTAAATATATCAAATTTTAACTATTCTAAAGTTTAATTATTATTTTGCACCTTGTTTTAACAATATTAATTTATTATATAGATAAATAATCGTTATGAATTTCCCATGGAAATTGATTTACAAAAATATTTGTCACCAGATGCAGATAAGTCAAAATCGCATAAATATTTATTACATGGGTTTGTATAAAATTAATTTTTCTATAATTTCTGTTAAGAATTTACCTGAATAATCTTAATTGAAATTTTTATCGTAACTAGTGTGCTTGTTCATGGTGGTTCGAATAAACATAGTTGTCGGTATTATGCATTATTAAGACCCGAAAGGAATCATAGATGGTTTGTTAAATTTATGTTCACCAATTTTATTATATTAATAGAGACTTGATTATGTAAATTTATTATAATTAGGATAAAATTTGATGGCATTCGTGTTACCCCAGTATCAGTCAAAGAAGTGCTTGAAAATAATTACGGTGGTGATGATTCCCCGTATAATAATGCATATTTGTTAGTGTATATTCGCGAGCCTGATATCAATGAGATATTATCTTCGATGCTTCCTGAAGATCTCCCAAAACATTTGTGTAAGTGGAATTTATTTGTAGCTATAAATTCCATTTTTTTTAATCATGCTATGTTTATTTAATAGGTAAAGAAGAAAAGACCTCGCGAGAACAGAGGAAAAAAGAATTAGTAGAAAACATTTCATACATGCAAATATGGGTAATTTTATTTAATAAATTGAAAAAGAATTTGTTATTAAAAATTATTAAAGTTAGTTTCACTTCGTCATTATTAGGTCTTAACCGAGGATACACTTAAAAACCATAAAGGATTTGACCTTGCTAACTTTAATGATGTGCAATATCCATTATCTGAAGTGTTTCAGATTAAATTTTTAAAAAAAGACACTTATGGTGATTTTAAGATAGCGATCGCTGCAAAGTTTAAAATTCCTGCTGATCAAATAAGGTTCTGGGTAATGATAAATCTACAAAATAAAACTGTTAGACCTCGTAAGCTTATAACTGATAATTTTCTTGGTAAATGTGAGTTGCAATATATATTTCCTATTTTCTATTTGATGCATTTCATGATTTCTATTTTATGCATTTATTTATAAAATTATTTATATTTAAAAAATTTATTTTTTATTAATGTTAGCGATGGAAGAAGTTAAAGCAAAACTATCAGAGGGAGATGGTGAATTGAGATTATATATGGAAATATTGGAAAACTCAATAATGATAAACGTCAAGGTTATTTATTACTCAAAATTATTATTTAACTTTTACTATCGTTATATAAACTTATATTCTATTCTATTCTATTTAATTTTCTATCTTGTACAGAAAAAACCACCGCCAGAGATGATCATTTTTCTTAAATATTTTAATCCGGATACACAGTCACTAGAGTATGTTAAACTTAAATATATGTAATTATTATTTTTTACGAGAATTAATGTAACTTTATCTATTTGAGCAGAAGTCTTGGTCATTTATGTGTTCAGAAAAATCATAAAATTGATACTATTTTTCCTATTCTATATAAAAAAACGAAACTCCAACAAAATACGCCTTTGGATATATATGAGGTGAACTATTTACATTTTACTCGTTATTTAGTAAGATATATAATCTTATACATATGTATACTCGTCTACTAAAATCCAGGAAGTCAAACCAGATTTTATCGAAAAGAAGATGCCTAAATTAACTTTTAGTAAGTCCGAGATGCAAGACGGTGATATAATAAGTTTCCAAAAAACATTGACGAATAAAGAGTATGATATTAGCATCTTAAATTCTTATTTAATATCAAATTTCAAAAAAATTAAGAAAATATACGCTTTATATAGAATTCAAGAACACGTTTCCGCAGGTCGCATCTACAGTATTCCTCAATTTTATGAATCATTATTAATGAATGTCATCGTTCAATTTAAATCAAAATTTGGATATAAAGATTT